CTACTACTACTACTACAACTACTACTCCTACTACCGCTACTACAACTACTACTAATAATAATAATAATAATAACTAATCGTTAGAAGCAAATGCAAAGAGATCTACGCATATAACATGCAGTATGTGTTTTCGTGTGTGTGTGTACGTGTACTGCGTGTGTGTGTGTGTTGTCGTCGTTGTTGCTAGCTCACAGACACTCATAGAATGAAAATAAAATGACCTATGACCTGTGACTGTATGACCTATGACTGTATGACCAACTTGGGTTGTTACGAAGGACTTCCATCCAAATTTATCTCTGTTTTAAACGGTCGAGTTTATCCAATAATGATAGTTTTTCGTAGCTCTAGTTTCCGGTTCAAGTGAGTTGAAGTATATATTTATTCATAGGAAATGTCGGTCGGATCTATGAAATTTCTAATCTTACTTATCTGAAGCATCTTATTTATGAGAAGCATCTTCATCTCGACGAATACTCGTTGCATCTTCACACACATCCACATCAAGTCAATAGATTGGGTGGACCATATCGCCTAATCTACCCCTCTAGGAATCCATTTCTCTTAGAAAAAAGTTTCATTCAATGGCCTAGTTTCACTATTCCATTTACAAATTTTAGGAATCTAATTAACTTACAATCATTACCAATATATTTACAGTTTTTACGAATTTAGAATCTTTACCGATTTATTTACAAATTTTACGAATCTAATCAACTTACAATTTTTACCGACATATTTACAACTTTTACGAATCTAATCAATTCAAACCTTCATCGATATATTTACAAATTTTACGAATCTAATCAATTCAAATCTTTACCGACATATTTACAACTTTTACGAATCTAATCAATTCAAACCTTTACCGATCTATTTAAAAATTTTACGAATCTAATCAATTCAAACCATTCCCGATATATTTACAATCACACGTATGTACAGACAAATTAGTTTGATGTCTTCTACATAATTTCTTGCACACAAAAAGCCAGTGCAGAGTTTGGATGAATAGACGGATGAATGGTGGAAGAAAAAGACTAAGAAGCCAGATATTAGTGGTAGATTACGGCATAGCAGTAGGTACCTATTTACCATTTTAAGGTTTCTTCTTTTTTCTCTCTCGTTCCTTATCCTTTCAAGACATTGGCCACCATCGACCACCCCAAAACCCGATCTTTAGCACTTTGTAGTAGTTGAAATGTGGTGATATTCAACCAGTGACCCAACAGACAGAAGTGTGAAGGTTGTTTAAAAGTTTATCAATTTTTTTTTTAAATTATCGACCAATTTGAATAGAAGTTAGTTCTTACAGGAAACTACCGGGTCTCTGGACTCTAAACGAAGATTAATTACTATTGCGTCAAGTTGATCGAGTGAGTGTGTGTGTGTATGGTGTGTGTGTGCGCGTGCGTGTGTGTATGTGAATTTTATTATAACATAAATATTACCATGCAGTGCATATGCTATCGTAATATTATCACAATTATTATACATATATTTACATATTAACGTATGTACTTATTTACGTAATAAAAATAATAATTATGTATTATATATATATATATATATTTATACATATATATATATATATATATATGTTGGTAAAGAGAAAAAAAAAATTTTTATATATATATATATATATATATATAAATATATATATATATATATATATATATTTATACATATATTTATACATATATATATATTTATATATATGTTGGTAAAGAGAAAAAAAAATATATATATATATATATATATATATATATATATATATATATATATATGACCTTTTGTCCTTGGCCTTCAGCATACAGGCCATGACCTCGAGTCTCGATAATTCGTGGCCTAACTGTGTTAGCAGGCCTTTGTCGTATAGCTGGGTGGGTATTATTTTAATTTAATTAGATTCATAAGATTTAAATTTAATTCTGATGATTAGCATTGGAGATGATGGATAATAATAAAAATAATAATAATAATAACAATCAATCTTCGTTTAGCGTCCAGAGATCCAGTTGCCCAAGGTAGGATGTTAATAATAATAATAACAATTAGAATAATAGAATAGTAAAAATAATAATAATAATGGGTTAATGAAAATAATAATAGAAATAAAAGAAAATCATGATGATGATGAAATGGTATGAAAAACTAAACTAAAGCAAATTTGCGACTTATCGTAAGTGTGGGTGTCTAATTTGAATAATAACAAAACTCTCTGGTTGCTTAAACTTCACAAACATTTTAACAATACGAAAACACCTTTTTTGTGCTGTGTAATGTGTATATGTATATATGTATGTATGTATATATATGTATATATGTAATGTGTATATAATATATGTAATATATATAATATATGTATATATATATATGTATAATATGTGTATATGTAATGTATCTATGTAATGTGTATATGCAATCTATATGTAATATATGTATATGTTATCTTAATATACATATATGTATATATATATATATATATACATATATATATATAACCTAAATATATAATGTAAACATATTATATGTATATTGTTTATGAATGTAATGTATATGTATAAAACACATAAAATAAAATTCATAAATGTATGTGCTATGCATACATGTGAACTCTGACCCCTATGTTCAGTTTATTTTAGAATGTACTTGCTAGCCTTTCTACTGCCATCACCATATTGCAGTCAAGAAAGTGAATTTTTCCACATTTATTAAATATTAAAATAATTAATAAATATCAAAAAATGAAAAAGATCATCAGATTAAAAAAATATTAAAATATATCACAGACACCTTGAGGTAAACGTCGAACCTAACTGGCTCTGGCAAATAGTCGACATCGGATTTGAATGCTTCATAGTTTGAAGTCATTGCAAAGATGGCTCTGTTGTATAAACTGTCTGGGACCCATTTCAGACGGCAGACGGTGGAAATCTCTCCTAGAGGACTGGACATGTCGTCTGTTACTATACCACTACACTACCTTACCTACACTAATCTGCCTTTAATTTAAACAACTCTACTTTTAGAACTACTAGTCAGTGTGACGTGTTAACTTTAAAACATGAGTTACTGTTGTATCTCTTAATTAAAGAAGATTATTATAACATGAAAATCTCTTGTGGTGTATTCACTGATCTAGGGTACAATTTTCCAACTGGTAATGCAACAAAGAGAGATGATAGATGAGTGAAACTCGACTTACTACTAACCTAATCTAAACTTACTAAATCAATGACTACACTAATTCTCAGATATAGCAAATTTGGATTTCAATTTCAATTCGTGTCAGTGTTAAGTTTAAAAAAATTTAAAAATAAATTCGCAGACTCAATCATTTATAAAACTAAATCATTAATTTGTTCATTTTGTTAAAATAAATTGCAGTTAAAATTTTTTCGAAGGAAAATAAACAATTGAAATGTTTTTCCGTAAAAAAATAATAGTACATTTAAAAAGTGAAGTTAGAACAGAAAGTGTAAAAGTTAATTTCAGTTTTAATGATGACCTAAAAACCTAAATTGATTATTATTATTTTTATAACTTTTTACGCTAAAATTTTATATTTCCTGCCAAATTAAATTAAAAATAAACAATCTTATTTATTTAAGTAGTTTATGAGCGTTTTTAAAGAGTTTTTTTTATTCGCTGCGTCTCTAAAATTACAGGCAAGATCTATGAAAACCTCATCTTTAACCATCAAATTCATACATTTTCCTCAAATGAATTCTACAAAGATTAAATTATAACGATTAAAAAAACATTTTAGATTAATTATCCTTAAATATAATCTAAGAAAACTTAATTATAATCACGTTAAATGACGAAATTAAAACTCACTCCTATTATTTCTATATAATTGCTCATTGCTTTGGGAGACGAGGAAGTTCAATTCAGCATCCGTGTTTGGAAGATTAAGACAAATTAGACTATTTCTCGCCAAATTATTCATAATTTTCCAGGAAATAAACGTTATTATAATAATATATTAGTTGATTAATTGATCGAAAAATCAAACATTTAGTCAATTTTTTGTCAAATTAACCATAATTTACTTGGAAATGAACGTTATTATGAGAATATATTAGTTAATTAAGTGATTAATTAACCAAGAAATCAAACAATTAATCTATTTTATTGTCAAATTAAACCTAATTTACTTCGAAATAAACGTTATTTAGTGAATATTAGCCGATTATTCGATTATTTATCAACCAATAATTTAAAATCACCTAATTAGTTGGACTAATTGGTTTGAGCTAATTAATTAAATTAATTGACATGACTCAACTTTGTCTTATTTAGATATATTACATTATAAATAATTTATATTTTCTGGTGTGTTTGTTAGATTAACTTTGCCTTCGATTAATTGGATTAATTAATTAATTCAATTAACTTATTATAATTATGTAGATTTTTTGGCCGCAGGGCAAATCAATTATAACATGTTACTCTCATTAAATTAAATAGAGTTGAGACGCAATTAGATACGTTACCTATAATTAATTTAATCATAATTAAAAAAATATATATGGATAATTGTATAATTATTATTATGTTAAAATGATAAGAATATGATAAAAATTAAGGAGGAAAAAACGAAATAATAATAAATTTAATAAATTATAAGATAAAAATATATAAAGAACACCATGTCTACAATTATTCACGACTGGAAAAAATGCGTCGAGTGGCTGGCGTACTACCAGCTGATACCTCCAGACCACAAGCTGCTGATCGCCACTGAAGTCGCTGCAAAAGATTTGGCGTTCTACCTGAGGGATGGTGTAGTCTTGTGTCAGCTGCTGAATAAAATACTCGATGGATCGGTGGACAATAAGGAGTTCAGTCAAAACCCCAAGATGTCTCAAGTGAGTTAGTTCTACGGACGCACACGCACACACACACGCACACACATACACGTATACTCCACACACAACACACGCACACACACATACACACACACATATATATACATATACAACTCCACATGCATACATACACACATATATACTCCACACACACACACACACACACACACACACACACACACAGACACACACATACTCAAACACACACAAAGACAGACTCGCCCACACTGAAACTGTCATACTTTTTTTCTTTTCTCTAACTCTCTCTCTCCCTTTTGTTCTATCTCACCTTTTATTCCATAATTATTTTAATTATTATTTCATCAAAATTATCACCACAGTTAGAATTATAATTAATTATGACCGTAATTATCTAAGTTTCTGTATATAGAAACGCAAAGGTCTTCGTACAGAAGTGCAATTCACTTTCTCGTTCATTCATTCATTCATTCATTCATTCATTCATTCATTCATTCATTCATTCATTCATTCATTCATTCACTCATTCGTAACTATAATATTAACAATTATAGCCATAATTATCATAATTATAATTAATTATAACCGTAATTATCTTAGTTTCTGTGTATGAGAAACGCCAAGGTCTTCGTACAGAAATGTAAATCCTTATTCGCTGTGAAAGACGAAGACCTCTTCAATCCGTCTGATCTATTTCACTCTATAGACTTCGAGAAGGTTCCATATGATTATTTGTTTTATTATTTGTAATAATAACAATTAATAATAATAATTATTAATAATAATAATTAATAATAATAATAAACAATAATAATAAATAATAATATTTGAGAAGATTTTTATCGACCGAAAAATTAAAAAAAAAATGAAGCCGGAAATAGTTCAAGATAGTGAAATGCATATAAATAAAAGATTAAAGATAAGAATAATAATAATAATAATTAATTATATTAATAATAATAAATAATAATGATTAATCATATTAATAATAATGAATAATAATAATTTTCGCTAGGTGGTTCACACACTGTCCGCTCTGTCTATCTCAGAGAAAGCCTCGAAAAACAAAATAAGGTAAATAATACAACTAATAGAAATAATAATAATAACAATTATTATTATTATTATTATTGTTGTTGTTATTATTATTATGCTTATCAAACATGTAGGCCGTTGGTATTGAATAGAACATCTAAGTACGATCTGAAAGACATGTCTGAAGCGTTAGTCAACATAATAATAATAATAATAATAATAATAATAATAATAATAATAATAACAATGATAATAATAATGATAATGATAATATCATCCTCATCTTCATTTCATCATCGTCAACATTTTCATAATAATAATATATCTATAATTATTTTCGTTATCATCATCATCATCACTACCACTACCAGAGTCTCCATAGATTCGGAGGAAATCACATCCAACAACAACCACAACAACAACAACAACAACAGCAACAATATCTATGAAAGCAACTTTAATATTGTAAACGAAAACATCATCAACAACAACAACAAGACAACTTTTAACATCGGTGGCGTCAGCAGTGACGACATCTACCACAACAGCCACAGCGACAACTTTGGTGACGATGATGACGCCGATATCTACCAAAATGTAAAAGATACTTCTGTATATGACGATCTCTGCTCTATTCGTAGGAGTCTGCAAGCCGCTGCGGTTGTTCATCAATTCATCCATTCATTCATTCATTTATTCATTCGTTCGTTCGTCCGTCCGTCCGTTCGTTTGTTCGTCTGTTCATTCATTTATTCATTCATTCATTTACTCACTCGTTCACTAATTCATTCACTCATTTATTCATTCGTTCGTCCATCCATTCATTCATTTTAGGAGAGCAAAGCGAAAACGAAGAAAGAAATGTGCATCGACGAACTCGTGGAGACGGAGAAGAAATACGTTGAGGCTTTGAGGATGATTAAACTGGTTCCTTCCTTTCTTCATTCATTCATTCATTCATTCATTCATTCATTCATTCATCCGTCGTTAATTTCATTAACTCACTCACTCCCTCACTCAGCAATTCATGATGCCCCTACAAAACGTCCTCTCCCCCGGTGACCATAAGATCATCTTTCACGGTATTGAGGTAATAATAAACACACAAACACACACACACCACACACACACACACACACTCACACACACACACAGAAAGAGAAAAAGAGAGAGAGAGAGGGAGAAAGAGAAAAACAAACACACACACACACACGCACTAACATACACACCACATACACGCACACACACACCACAGAGAGAGAGAGAGAGAAAGAGAGAGAGAAAGAGAAAGACAAACACACACACAGACACACAAACAAACAAAAATAATTCTTAGCGATTATGGCAAACTCATATTGACTTCGAATCGGCTCTGCGTCTGGCCACTACCACAACCACAGCGACCTACAACATCGCCGACTGCTTTATCGCCAACAAAGAAAAATTTTTGTTCTATGGGGAGTTTTGCTCCAATCTGACGGCTGGCCAAGAGGCTCTGGATAAATTGATGGAAACCAACTCGAATATTAGGAATAAAGTTTCTGTGAGTTGGTGTGTGTGTCTGTGTGTGTTTGTTTGTGTTGGTTTGTGTTTGTGTGCGTGTGTGTGT